ACTAGTAGTTTTCAATGTAAATTAAAACTAATCAATTTTGTTTGTATGTTTTTAGCTTTACTCATTAAAAGCAAATTACATTCGTAAAATAAACTTACATTTATGCAATTTTTAATCTATATATGCTGATAATTACAGATTCGGGTCGGATGATTCGAAACAGGCGAGAATTCATCCATATCCATACGAATTACAACCGAAACTATTTAGTAAGCTTTATTCTACCCTTCTTCTTTACCTTTCTTCTTCTTTTCTTTATATACTACCCTTGTAGACATGCCATTCTCATTTCGAGTTGTAGCAAGTTAATTGAGCAACCTTAACTGAGTTTTGCTGCTGATTAAGTAATCTTTCTCCCGCAACAACTTTTTGATCACGTCTAATTGCAAAAGAAATGTATTTAAGATAAAAAAAACTTGAGCTAGGACAAGAATATTTTTGTTACTTCACACCATAGTAACAAAGCTATATACAGGGTGATTTGTACTCAGTGTGACAAAATTTTTTTAGTGTAAGTACAAAGTAAATGAAGTGTGATGATGCATATCAAATGTTCCAAGTCTCAAAATTAGCGTTCAAAAAAATTATTTTATGTTTTTCAAAAATAACCATGCTTTTAAACTTAATACAGTGATTTCTCAATTACCTGTATATGGATTTGAGTAGATAATGTCATTTTCGTGTTCTACATTAAATTTTGAACAAGAATAATGGAAAATAACGGAGGATCAGTTGTAAAAACTCCATTGTAAATAGATTCAAAGATAAAAATTAGGATATTTGATAAAAATCTTAAAAACAATGGTCTATTGCATTTTTCACACCCTGTATACAAGAAAGTGTCGGAATATGTTAAAAACTGCGCCATTTTATAAGCTTTCCAACCATATGCTACACTATTGAGGTTTAGTTATTTTTTTGTTTGTTTTAGTGGTTTGAATACTAGAAAACAGGGAACTTTTTTACTGTTTTTACTGTTCAAGCTGAATCAAAAATACAACTTTTGCTTAATACATGCCAACTTTCTATGTTTTAAATGTTAAAGACACCATGCTTTGTAGTCTTCAAACCATTAAAGCGTACATAAGCAGACATAAACCTCAATAGTGTAGCATATCGTTGGAAAGCTTATAAAATGGCGCAGTTTTTAACATATTCCGACACTTTCTTGTATACAGGGTGTGAAAAATGCAATAGACCACTGTTTTTAAAATTTTTATCAAACATCTTAATTTTTATCTTTGAATCTATTTACAATGGAGTTTTTACAACTGATCCTACGTTATTTTCTATTATTCTTGTTCAAAATTTAATGTAGAACACGAAAATTACATTATCTACTCATATCCATTTACAGGGAATTGAGAAATCGCTGTATTAAGTTTAAAAACATGGTTATTTTTGAAAAACATAAAATAATTTTTTGGGAAGCTAATTTTGAGACTTGGAACATTTGATATGCATCATCACACTTCATTTACTTTGTACTTACACCAAAAAAATTTTGTCACACTGAGTACAAATCACCCTGTATAATAGCTCTTATATATAGCTTTTTTCTCGTTGAGTTGATCAACTTGCTACAACTGGACAGAAGGTATGTATGTCTACTTCAACGGTCAAAGGTAATTGCGTAATACATACTAAACAAACCTCCTGCATAAAAATATAATCAGTTTTATGAGGTAAACAAACGAAGGAAAATAATTGTACTAATTAGATAACATCTAATCTTACTAATATTATAAATGTGAAAGTTTGTGTGTTTGTGTGTTTGTTTGTTTGTTTGTTTGTTTCAAGTTCAATCACGCTTTAACTACTTGTCGGATTGGGCTGAAATTTGGTACGACGATAGCTCACATTCCTGATTAACATATAGACATATTCTTATATCAAAAATCCTTTCGGGCTCCGCCCCAGTGGCTCTTCCATAGTTTACTTTTTTTAGTTTAGGTGTTAGTAGTGGTAGAACATTGTGGTTATGATATACAGGGTGTTTGTGAACTCTCTCGAAAAAATTCACAGGATTATTCCTTGGGTTAATACATGAATATTTTACATTATAAACATGGGTCGCTGGAGCCTCGTTTTCCGTCTGTCTGTCTGTATGTGTTTTTTTTATAAATAACCTTATAACTCGAGTTTGAATCAAGGTACAAACTTTAAATTTGACACAATTGTGTATTTTGACGTGTTACACAAACAAGCAAAATTTCATTTCGTTGACTATAGCCGTTTCAAAATGGCGGCCATCTAAAATCAATGACCTCAAATTACATGAAAACCACTAGGGTTACAAAAAAACACTAGAATAAAAAAATTTAGGAAATTTTATGCCAAATCAAATGACACCTAGATTTTAAAGATCGGACAACAAACAGCTGAGTTATACATTTTTAAAATAATTAATAATTTCTTTACTGGCTTTTAATTGTTATTGTTTTATTCTTGTGTTTTTTTTTTAGCGAATTTCCCATATAGGGAATAAGCTATTACCGTAGTACTCACGGTAAGACCTGGACCCGGGACCAATTTTTTTTTCGTTTTGAGGTCCCTAGAGGTCAAAAACACCATCCGTTCAAATTCATATATATATATATATATATATATATATATTTATATATATATATATGTCCGTTAGCGCGATAACTCGAGCAAAAATGATCCGATTTTGATGAAATTTGGTACAAACGTGTAAACCTACGTTTATTCTAACGAGTTCGCGAACCAGCATGATCGGACCATGGGAACGGGGGTTTATGGGGGCTTTTATGGGGTAAAAATGGGTTTTTCTTATTTTTGACCCAAAAAACATAAAATTTTGCAATTTCTTTCGAAACTATTTTGTAGAGCTTAAAAAAACAAATAATTTAGTATATTGAAGCGTTATAATGCGCCTAATGGTTACGGAGAAAATTCCAAAAAATTGTAAATTTAAAATTCCCATGTTATTCTTATGGAGAATAAGTAAACTGTTGTAGTTTGCTTGTTTATAAACATATTTTGCCCAAATTTGGAAAATGTTTTTATTTCATACTAACTATTAACATTTTACATAAAAAACACTTTTACCCTCCCTGTTGCAGCAAACCTAAGTACTTGTTAAACTAATTCTATTTAAATCGGGAATAACTGTTATATATTTTTAACTAGAAATTTCAGTGTAAATCAAAACAGTCAAATGGAAATTCGCTTAGTCTGCAGGTTTGCTGCGGCGGGGGTATTTTTTAACTCTAGTGGTTTTCATGTAATTTGAGGTCAAAGATTTTAGATGGCCGCCATTTTGAAATGGCTAAAGTCAACGAAATGAAATTTTTCATGTTTGTGTAACACGTTAAAATACACAAGTGTGTCAAATTTAAAGTTTGTACCTTGATTCCAACTCGAGTTATAAAGTTATTTATAAAAATCACATACAGACAGACAGACGGAAAACGAGGCTCCGGCGACCCATGTTTATAATGTAAAATATTCATGTATTAACCCAAGGAATAATCCTGTGAATTTTTTCGAGAGAGTTCACAAACACCCTGTATGTGTTATACCATACTATAGCTTCCGTAAAGTAAAAGAACCAAATTTTCTCAAACCGTGTCCTCTTCCATTGTAAACACAAAACATAAGTAAAACTGCAATAAGCATTTTAAACTTATATGCCAACCCAGTACGAAGGACGGGTACTCTGCTAGTTGGTTATAAACGCTGTTATAAACCTTGGCATAACAAACCGTTCTTAACAGTAATGTAAGTTCAGTAACTATGTAACTAAGGCTGTACCAGTTAGTTACAAGTTAGCAATGATCGATGGTACAAGTTTAACAGTGTGTTATACGTCACTCCAAACTTTCTTGCAGTCTATTATAACTCAAAGTTAGGCAATATTTATTTCAAAATAATTTACGTTCATTCGCTGCAAGTGATAAGGAAATAAGGAAATATACGTTAAAACAGATTTCAATCAAGGATGTAAGCATCAGCGTATATATATAACCTAACCAAAAACTTGAACTAGTGTAAGGATTAAAACAACGGTTTCCGTTTTAATTAAAAATATATATATCCAAGATAACAATTTTGTAAGTTTAATTCAATGAAAATACTGTATTGACGCTTCTAAAATCAAATTGCAATAGAGGAAGTATTTTAAATGATAAAATACTATCTACCAAGTCGAATATATTGACAACCACGCAGAATCGCGTATAATTTAGGTGTAGTTTTGGACTCGTTAATTATGCATAGCCGATCCAGCCTTCGGGCAATAATAGGTAATAATGGGATTCATTGTTAATAACACGTTGTTTTAACAGTGATTTAGGTATTTAATCAAACAAGCGCTTCAAAGTTATTACAGAGTAGAGCGTTTGATTTACGATTTCTTGTTTGTTGTTGAGGAATTTTGTGATCTCCCTGGCCCGAAATCAATTTTACCAATCCAGTGTTCTTCAAAAAATATTTTTATTTAACTATAAAATAAAATGGAAATTATTTTGTACCCGTCCATGAAATAACTACGGATCCATAAACGAGTAAATTAGTTGTTTTACAGGGTTTCCTCCATGTTTAATTTATATGATGTTTGCACCAAGTTACAATGAATTTCGAAGAAAATATAGGGTGTACACATCAGATAGTATAAATCAGTTAGTTTAAGGTTAAACTAGGAAAAATGTCACAATAAAAATCAAGAAATTGTTTCACTAATACAAATTTACACTTTGCAAGAAAATGACTTGAAAACTTATGTAATACGTGTTTAGCAAAAAATAAAAAAAGTTACTATCTTTAAAATGTATCCAATAACATTACCATACCAACCAAAGTCGTTGGTAATAATACAGATAATTATTGCAAATATTAATTTGGGTATAACTAATTTAGCCATAAACGCCAAATAAATACAAACATTATTTAGCAATTATATAATACTAGATTCAACAGATTAGATAAGATTGTTTATTCTGCATTCTGTGCTCTCTGTTTCTGTTTCATCACTCAAATTGACTGACATTTCCAAGAATTAAACATGAAGAATTTACTGTTTGCTGTAACCTTAGTTATTATTCAATATTCAAACCTTCCAGTGGTGCTGTCAGTTAATTCTTCTACGGATCATAACGGTTTTAGTGTACTTGTGAAGGAATCTTCTTATGTGGACAAGACGTTGTTTATCAAAGAAGTTCTTCAAGATCGAGGACATAAAATTGTGTTTACAGCTCCGCATGGGTTCGGTAAAACATCAATTCTGCAAATGTTGAAAGCGTTCTTTGAAATAGAAGCAAACTATGTTGGAGATAGACTAACTTGGATAAGAGACATGACTAACCCAGTGAAAGACACTCCTAACTACAAACTGTTCAAGGACACCAAGATCATGGACCATAAAGACATCATGAATGAACATTTTGGTAAATACCCAGTTGTGCATTTAGATTTTAAGAGTGCAGTCGGATTTAATCACTTCAACGAAACTCAGGATCGTTTCAGAGATGTTTTGCACGAAGCTATTTCAAAACACTCTTATTTGAAAGACAGCAACAAACTTTATGATGAGGAAAGAGAATTTATTAGACTGTGGTCCTCTGATGAGTACAAACTTGAAGACATGGGAACTCTGATACCGGGACTGGAGAAGCTATCCAAGTACCTCTTCAAGCACTTTGACAGAACTAGAGTGATTGTCCTGATAGATCACTATGACTCACCTATCTTCTACTGTGTGACTCATCCCGGAGTGGCTCAAGACGCGTTCAACTACGTCATCAACGTAGTCCAAGCGTTCTTCCACATTCCCAAGGACGATTTCTACGTAGACACGTTCATTCTGACAGGAGTTTCACAAGTGGAAGAGCCTCATGTGTCGAATGCGAGATTCATCAAGCGGTATGAGTTTTTAAAACCACATCCTTTCACTCCGTTCTACGGGTTTACTGATGATGAGGTGTTCGATCTTTTAGGAAGGTTGAACGTTGAAGTTGACAACGACAAGTTTGAGTTGGTCAAGCATCACTACGGTGGGTATGAGAGTTTGAGTAACCTGACGATTAGTAATCCTTGGTCTGTTCTAAAGTATTTAGAAAATAAGGAAATTGAACACGGGTGGACTAAATGTATTGGAATACCAAATCTAAAAGGTCTTCTAATGATTCCTGATGTCAACCAAAAATTGGAGAGGATGTTGAAAGGTCTTCCGACTGTGATGGAGCTGAAGAGAAGTTTGTCTGCGGAAAACCTAAAAGTCCTTCGGGATATAGTTAACTATCCTGAAGGGAAAGCGCATTTGTGGTATACTACCCTCTTCTACACTTTCTTCTTCCAGGAAGGTTTTTTGGCTTTCGATTCTTCGGTGATTTCCGAGGTCAGTGATGCTAGGAGGTATGTAATCCCTAATGAAGAGATTAAGCAGTTTTTGTTGTACACTTTAAAGTGATCTAAAAGGTTTGAAGTGCCGTTCGCACTGAATGTTTACAAGGAATAGTGTAGGTAATTATAGAACGTGAATGAAAATCTTAAGTGTTTGTAATATAACAGTTGTATTTTGTATTATTGTAAAAATGTGTTTTCGGATTCCATAAAAACTGTAATTTGTTAGTGACACTAGTGGCTTGAGTGAGATATGATCAGATATGTAATTAGTTTCATAAATGACTTTAGGTGTTGTCATGTATATAGATTTTACTAGTTATAAACTTTATTTTACTCTTTTCATCATGATTAGTTTCTCATCACTAGGTTTTACCTGTGTAAATTATGCTGGTTCACTTTTTTACTCTAAATTTTTCCTATCCTCACTTTAAGTTTTTGTCTATAAATGTCTCAGAGCCCTTACTTTTAGCTTAGACCTGTACTTTAGCTCAATTAAAAAAATCCAATGTTCTGCTTCTAAAGTACAGTTAAAAGACGTGCCAATTTTTATCGATAGGTATTTTATATGATTATTTTAACCATGGTTTCTTTTCTTAAAACCCTTTTATGCTTGTTTCCAGAATTTACTTTCAGGCGCAACTAAACTATTAGAAATCTTTTTTCACATAGTTAGAATTACAATAAATTAAAGAATATTTACAGGTGAAGATAAAGCTTTAAACTTAATTCAGAAATTACTTCATTTAAGTTTGAGCATTGACTTGTCAAAAGCTTGAGTAACTTTATCGAAAAGAAAAAAACATATTATAATGTGAATTAAATCAGAAGAATGATTGTAAAGTTATCATCGAACCGGTAACATCATGTGTTTTACGTCTTCTTGAAGTTACAAGCGTCATTCAACGGAACGTTTATTGTTTCAACATTTCATGTTATGTCAGTCGCTCAGCCAATTATTTGTTTAAAGCTGTAATAATATTGTTCTTCTTTAGAACACTTTTTATTTAGTTTACTGGTAAATGATTTGCAGTAACAATTTTCCTTTTACATAACGATCAAAAGTATTTTAACGAGTATTTTGTGTAAGACACACTTTATATTAGGTAACATACCAATTCATATTCATTAGTGTTATTATAAACTAGTGTCCCTGTTGCTAATTGTTAAGTATCAGAGGCGTTATTTTTAAAGGAATAACGGTCATAATTTCTGATGACTTTAAAAGATTCGACCAAAAGATTATGGTAATACTCAAGATGTACATAACAGAATATATCAATTTATCCAGGCTCTCTCGCTTTTTTCCATTGTAATATTTACACTAACCCAAATTCAAATAGTAAATATTTAATTTCAACCAAGTCAGTAAATGTTTGTAGCAAACTGTATTAGCAAACTGATTGAATGTTAAGAATTAACATATGTTCTTCTTCTCACTTTTAACTTCTGACAACAGCTGGAGTTTCATAACAATTTTTGTCTCCCATGTTAATCTTATGGAGAAATACGAAACTTTAAAGGACCCCAGGGTCTCACTCTCTAATTATTTCCCTAAAAGAAAGTTTCCTGTACAACTTCATGCTAGGCTCTTTCCAATGACACCAAAAACATGTTAATCGGTTCAGTAGTTTAGGAGGAGTAATTGTCACAAAAAACCTGCTTGCGTATTAAATAAGTAATAGATATATTTTTGTGTGGACATTATGACACCAATTCAATGTTGCATCGAACATTTTATAAAACACTTTAAAAAAATCATTTAATTGTAATCAAGATAACTATAACGCAGACATTTCCCCTTTAGATTCTCAACTATGATTTCGATTTAAAAAAAAAATAGTTTCAGTTAATATTGACTATGGATATAAAAATAGTTATCTCATCTATTCTAATTCTATATGTTCTGTATCCAACTTTCTACTCAAATAGAACAGAAGTTCATTCATTAATAAAGTTTCTAAATAAGGCCTTAAATAATTAATTTTAAAAAATCGCTGTACCGCCTAAATCATATGCAGGACAATAGGCTATATACTGTCCTAATAAGCCTACAGACCAGATTGGCATTTCTTCATGTAGTTTAGGTTAGTTTAAGAAAATTGCAGCAGGATAAAATTATTTTACTTGTATTAATGTTAATTTTTTTAAGTTTAAATTGTTATTACTTTTATTATACTGAATGTTGAAAAAAGTCCTATCTATGTACATTGTACCACAAAAAAAGGTTACGAGTTAATAAAGATTTTGAATTTCAATACTATGAGAGTCTGGTAAGTTCTACTTCTCTTTAAAATGTTCATACTGCGACAGGGACATAAAAGTAAACCCTCTGTTATTTTATACGTGATAATCAACAGAGAGATTATTAACATGAAGCTTGGTTTTGAATAATCTAGGCCTCAGGCGTTAGTTATTATGTATTATCATGTATTATCTGGCTCTGCCTCTGTAATAATGGTTAAATCATAATATTGGCCTACACACAACATACACAACGCTTTGAAAACATACCTGCTTTAAAACTTCATTATTTTATGTATAGTGTTGGATTTTGGATACCATAGGCCCACTGTAATAATATTTCATATGACTTAAGTAATAAAAGAATTATTAATTTTATTACTATATTTCTTGAAAAGTCTGAAGATTTTTTAAGTTCGCTTCATGACTTGTTGATATAGTACTAACGGTTATTTTCCACCCTCTGCTTGGCATTAATTTAAAAAAAACTCTCGTCGATAGTAATGAAATGTACTGTTTTATGTAAAACCATAGATTTTGAATACCGAGGGAGACATATCTAACCTACGTAACATTTTTTTCCTTCATACACATTGGTGCATTTCCTTCTCGTAGAATGTACTATGTACTTATAGTACGTTGTTGTTCGGTTTTTAGTTTTCTAATGACTTTGAATTTTGAAAAGAAAATGTAAAACATAAAAATCCTTTTTAGTTAAAAGTTAAAGTTTTAGTTTGGCATAACCAAAAGTTTTTATTGCTGGTTTAAGTTTTTAGAGCAACTACAGTATGTTGAGAGATATTGATCACCCTCCCCAAAACAAACATCCAAACTTTGATGAACATGAAACTTCGAGAACACATGTCATCTTGCAAGCAACATCACTAGCGTCGTTGGCAATTATTTATTATAGAAACATGAAAATAAAATCGTTTTTCTTTATAAAGTTAAACCTTATAACAAACTGAATTCACCTTTGCTTGATTCTTTACTTACTTTACAATGATACGGTATTACTATATCCGCTTAGGTAATTATTCCGTTAAAGGGTAATGACCTAACCATAGGGATTAATATAATCGATATGAGTATTAAAAACCTAGAATTTGCAAAAATGTTCTATTTAGGATATAACCATTCATGTAGGGAATAGGCTATGTTGGTGAAATCGTAGATTACTCTTATCAGTTTTCCTAAAATATAAAAAACATCGTGGTTAGTGCAAATTATATCATACCACAGACTATAGAACCAATTAATGGTCTATTTTCTGTGATTATACACACAAATAATCATGGTTGCAATCAATATATGTCTTCTTAATTATATCTCCTAAGGAAAATATTCCAGAGTTAAAACAAGTCAACGAAGAAATATTTTGTATGTTTTTAAGTATTTTAGTGTCACTGTGTGAACTATTTTCTTGTATTCAGGATTGGGTTTGTTGATATAAAATGTTACATTAATGGTAGGTGATGAATATTAGCAATGTTACAACTTGAATGACCTTTGACTGCTGGCTTAACCATAAAACATATAAACCCTGGTAACCACACACTCTAAACAGCAGTCCAAAGCCTACAATAATTTCCCTTTTCTCCATTGTTAGGGCTTCAGAACCACAATTGCTCGCAAGATTACAAAAATGAAAAACGTCTTTGAGTTAGGATAATATCACGAGGCCGACAAAGGCTAAAGAGCCGATGATCGTTATGCTGCTCCATTGTCTGGTTGTATTTATTCCTCCGCTGGTTCATTCCTCAGCACAATCGCTTGTCCCATCAGCACAGATAGCGCTGCAGCACTGCTGATGGTATCTGCTTGATTATCCATTAGACAATTACTGAACAGCTGATTCGAGAGATTGTTTAAGTTTTAGAGGCTTAAGCTTTAATTTTAAGACTTATTTACATAATGTCTTCTTTACCCCTTTACCATTTTGAAGTATTTTGTTTAATACTAATAAGTACATAGATTATCCTTATATGCAATACGTGAAGGCGATTTCTACGAAACACTACTCCTCCGTTAATAATGAACGGGTTTTTACAAACGACGTGTCAAAATGAAGTATATTTTGTGTGGACTCCCCCTTTCACCAATTCCTGTAACAAAAGTCCTCGGGCTTTGCCCCACAGGCTATCAAAATCCCAATGTATTTCTTATGAAGAAAAGATTTTGTTTACTTAAACAGACGAATAATTTGTATTAATTGAAGCTATTTATAGTAAAAACATGATACAAGAGCGTTCGTTTTCAGAGTGAGTTCGTTTTCTGTTTCGATAACTGGAGTCGAGTGATTAATTACATTATCTTTAAGTTGACTCTTTTACCTTTAAGATGAAGGGGGTGTTGTGGCCCATCATTTCGAATTAATTTTTTAAGCCAAACTCAATGCCGCAATCCATTTTTGGTTATCACGTTTTATTCATGAAATATTGCAATGTTTTTGTTAAAACCGCCAATATTTCAAAATCAAAATATGAAAATGAAAAAAACGGATCGTGGAATTAAGTTCAGCTTAAAAAAGTAATTCGAAATGATGGGTCACAACACCCCCTTCATATTTAAAGTAATTTATCACATTTCAAAATGGCGGATCCAAGATGGCGGCCGAAAAAATTACATCCGTCATAACCAAGTGAAAATAGGTCAACAATGACTGGTGGTGTATACTTATCTTTATCTAGCACTATTTTGAGATTATGGTCTTAGTTTGTAAATGCACAATGATAAAATGGGCTAAAAATAAAGTTATAAAAACCCTCATAACTTTGGAATGGATCAAGAATTTTTTAAACGATTTGTGGCATTGTAATCAGGAAGCCAAACTCAATGCCGCAATCCATTTTTGGTTATCACGTTTTATTCATGAAATATTGCAATGTTTTTGTTAAAACCGCCAATATTTCAAAATCAAAATATGAAAATGAAAAAACGGATCGTGGAATTAAGTTCAGCTTAAAAAAGTAATTCGAAATGATGGGTCACAACACCCCCTTCATATTTAAAGTAATTTATCACATTTCAAAATGGCGGATCCAAGATGGCGGCCGAAAAAATTACATCCGTCATAACCAAGTGAAAATAGGTCAACAATGACTGGTGGTGTATACTTATCTTTATCTAGCACTATTTTGAGATTATGGTCTTAGTTTGTAAATGCACAATGATAAAATGGGCTAAAAATAAAGTTATAAAAACCCTCATAACTTTGGAATGGATCAAGAATTTTTTAAACGATTTGTGGCATTGTAATCAGGAAGCCAAACTCAATGCTGCAATCCATTTTTG